AAAAAATAAATTTGTAAAAATTAAATGAAATTTAAGTAAGAAACTACAGTAAAAAAAAATATAGTAACATAAGTTTCCAAACGTTAAATTAATTAAAAAAAAAAATATTTTTCTTTTCAAAACAGCCAAATGTCAAGCAAAACATATTTAAAAATATGTATTAAAAAATAAATAAAGTTAGTTTCGAAAAATTAAATAACATCCAAAATTATATATTTTGCTTTTAAAAACCATAAAATATAAAATTTAAAAGATATTAGGTTAAAAAAAAATTAAAAAAAAAAAATGTTAAATAGATTTCTAAAAGTGAAATGAAATTAAACAAATTTTTTTGCCGGAAGCTTATGCTATATCCTTCGATAAACTAAGCCAAATGACGAGTTACAAGAAGGTTGCAAAACCTAGGCGGCCTATTATTTCACCAGCGACGTGGTTTGAGTGTCCATTAGGAAGGTTATCCTTTGACGCAGTAGTAAAGACACTTTAGACCTTTGTACTTCCATAATTTACGTATCAACTGCGCCGCAGCATGTTACGCCATATGCAGTTCAGTGAGTCGCCCCTATGAGGGAACTATCCTGGTGGCGGTGTATTTGTCAAAGACTTAAGATACCCCGCTGTCGCTCCAAGCTACTAGAGGTCATTGAATGATTATTCCTTCCACAGGCACAAAAATGGTTGGCCTTAAGTTTTCTAAGCGGTCGACAGTCATTAGTGTCCTTTCGAGATCAAATTGCGAGGCCAAGAATATACAGAGTAGTTTCCTCTCCCTGACTCTTTAACTTCAGCATCTCGCCATTAACCCGACTTTCACGGATATTTTCATCCGGAAATGGCATTAATGACCTGTATTCGAAAACCAACGGCTATCTTTCCGATACTTCTCACTTCCTTACTAAACGGATTCTCATCACTATGAAATCTACTCCAAGCCACCAAATATGTATGTACCTACTTATCGAAGCCGCGAAACTCTCGTATCATAATTTTATGCTTGGCTAGCAACTCCAGTTCAGTCAGTTACTGGAATAAGAGCCACCATGAGTTTAAAACCTAAATCGTGCAGCCACGGAACCCGACGTTCTATAGGTAGGCCATAAATTATATTAATCGACAGATAATCATCAATTTTATCAGCTCTCGCCCCGTCAATGCCATCATCGGAGTACAAAACACACTAACCTCGGAATTCCCGGGACAAGGGACTTAGTAGCGCCGCAACAAGAATAACTGAAAACTGAAATAACAGAGCCGAAAATAACAAATCTCCGAAAGTGGTGACATGAGTTGTTCAAAACCGGCATCGAAGAGCAAATAGGGAGGAGGCACCAGCAAGAGGCACAATTCGAAATCGAAGAGCACTCTGAAAAACCCAAAGAAGGTAAATCTCGCCATATCCTCCAATCATTGTGCACACACTACTTTTAAGCTCCTCTCGGCCAAACTGTGTAAAATAGGCCTTCATTTCAGATTTGCACAGTGTATGGAAATCACAGAAATACTCGAAACTAGCAAATCGACACACGCAACCAATCAATTTCTGTTAAGCAATTTTTTGTTATACAAAAAAAAATAAGCCACTTTGATGCCACATCTAAATTTAGGGTACCCGCAAAGCTAATACGGCAGCGTAGAGTGACCAAAACTAGAGACACGGCGATTAACTTTTGTGTAACTATTTCCATCCGCTGTTGAGAAGCGTAGCATATGCTCCACATCTGTATTATTTTTATTCACAGCCCAGTGCATTTTATTGACTTGACTAAAGCTTTTGATTAATTCTTTCACAGTGCTTCATACAAAGGCCAAAAATATTTCACTTTCAGGACTGTTTGTTTGTAGTTGTCTAGTAGGCTGCGCGAAATGTCCTCTTCTTCAATATGGCGGCCATCAATCAGTGAATGAAATAAATTAATACAAGACATGAGCAACAAAGTTTGTATCATCAATCAATATGTCAAAGGTGTAATATCCTTATTACTAACAAAAGGATAGTGTTAAGTGCCAACACACACATTGGCTTTGAATAATTAATACATACGTAAATGGCAACATTATTATACAGCTTTGGCAAAGCCTCAATCACACCAGCAATCACTCACCTGTGCAAAACGGCCAGCGTAGGAAATGTATACACTTTCACTTGGTTTGTGGCTTAGTGACACCCTTGTCGTAATGAAATATGTATGCATACACATGCGCGTATGTAGGTAAGTAAGCATATATGTATTTCCTATAAATTGCTGTAACATATATCAAACTAGTCACATATTTGTAAAGGTTGTAATATAAATACACTGCCGGCAAAAAGTATTGGCAAAGCAAATTTTTCACAATATATGCAAAAATTTTTTTTCTATTGTTTTTCGGCCAATTTTTTATAAAAATATGGTTCATTCTACAACAAAAAACATTAAAATATAGTTTCTAAACTTTGTGCAAAAGTCACGAAAATTCAGCTAATTTTCATGCAAATTTTCAACTTTTTAATCAGATTTTTTAGAATTTTTTGAGTATGCAGATTTCGAGCCTTATCAATTTTATTATAATAAAGTATAAATTTTAAAATAGGCTAGGAATTATCGTTGATTTTTGGCAATTTTTTCACGCAGTCTCTTTTATAAAAAAAAAAATTTTCGAAAATATTTTATATGGAAAAAATGCAAAATGCCTTCAACGAAAAAAATTCTCAAAAATCAATGCGATTTGTGCTTAACTCAGCACTTGCAGTTGTTTTACCAGAATTTAATGCGCTTCAAAATTGCATACTCAAAAAATTCTAAAAAAGTTGAAAGTTTGCATGAAAATTTGCTGAATTTTTGGGAATTTTGCACAAAGTTTATGAATTACATTTTTAATTTTTTTGTTGTAGAATGAACTATATTTTTATAAAAAAAAATTGGCGGAAAAATATTAGAATAAAATATATGCACATATTGTGAAAAATTTGCTGTGCCAATACTTTTTGCCGGTAGTGTATGCACATTTTAGTTAGGAAGTTATTTGAGTGAATTAATAAAAATACATATTCACACATGTGAATACCAATGTATGTTACATACATACACATGAATTCTGCGGTGTGATTGGTGCTTGATTGACTATCACTTTAGCGTGACTAGTAAAGCAAGTAAATTGGTTTTGATTCCATAATCAGTTACATATTCATAACTATGTAAATATTTAAATGCATATTTACATATGCAGTTATATAAAAAAAATATATTTTTAAAAATTTGATGTAGCTGCATATTTGAAAGTGATCTTTTGACATTCTCCTAGACTATCAATTAAGAAACTATTTTCATCATAACTGAGCCATCAAAGATATTTCGAGCATTGTACAACTTATGAACAACAACTCCTGAGATTGCGTCTCATATATTGAAAAGGTTTGTAGGTATGGAGAAAGTTCACCGTACCAAAGTTTTTAATCTGCAACATAATCTCCTAATAAAAGTCAATAAATTAAACTCAAAGCTTATCTTATAACTTTCCATATAATGAAATTCGGGAAGCTATACGACATTTTCGAAAACAACAGGAATTCCCTCTTAACTCGACGAAGTTCCAAAAGTACATATTTAATATGTTTCATTTATTTGAGGAGAGAGTATATTCTGGGAATAAGTTCTGGAAAATATTATGGATCTTCAAAAAATTTGTACTTTCTTTCCTTGCAAAAGTTTTTTTTGGGTGGGCTTTCCAAAATGGAACCAATCGAAATTTCAGCGAAAGTATAAGGAATTTCGTCATTTCGTTGTTAAATAATGTCCACTATCACCCCCTAATTTTTTTAAAATATGCCACTTATCACTTATATTTTGTGTTACATATTATATTTTCAATGCTCACATGCGTATTTTATGCTTTTATTACATATAATTCACCAATTAATTAAGTAAAACGCGTTTATAAATTTGTGTTCACGTTTTACCACTTTTCACAAACAAACAGAAATAACAATGGCCGACAGTAAGAGCAAATATGTGCTGCCATACGTTTCAAAAGTAAATACGCAACTATTAAAGGATTTTATTAAAACGCGGCCAACACAAAAAGGAGTTGTGCGTAAAATCGTCATAATTGTATGGCAACCGTATTCCAACGGTATTTCTTTTATTCTCTTCTTATTTGTTCGCATGCAGAAGCTAGCACTGCATTTTTTCGCGTCTTTTCTGTGCTTACATCCATTTTATTTAACCATGTATTAATATAGTTCCATATATATCGAAAATTTTTAATAAAAAATCGCGCGATTTTTTATTAAAAATTTTCCCCTGCGGCGCCTTATATTCTAAAAATCGATACTTCCATAAATAATGAACATTTTTAATAAAACATCGCTTTTTATTATAAAATCGATACTTCGATAAATTATGCAACTTTTTAATCAAAAATCGACCAATAAATAATTAAATTTTTTTATTAAATATCGCGCGATCATTATCTGCATTTTTTTATTGCTTCCGTTTTGTGTTTTTGAGGCATTTTTTCATATGTATGGCAGCACTGACATTTTTTTTTTTTTTGTTTCAGTAAATTCTAAACATTTTAGCAATTCTTTTATCCCAGCAGCGTTTAAAGCATATATACAATTACTTTCATTATTAAATTCCCCAATTAAGCTGCTTTTATAAAAACGAGTAACAACACCCAGAGTCTCCCAACACTTTTGTGACATCCTTTCACGAGCTACTCTTTATAAAGATCACCATAAACATCATCTAAATATTTAGTTCAACAAAGCTCTATTTTTAGCACTCTATTTAACATTTTTTTTTCGCTTATTCCCTGAGCACTCATTAATTTCCGTCCACAGTTTGCCCACACTCTACGTTCTTTAGCTATTTTCACACAATAAGTCTCCGGAATGTCTTAATTCCTCTTGTCGCTTAACTGCGCCCCTTCGCAGCAACATAAATTTTCCAACAAACAAATAAAAGAGCACTCAAAAAATATATGTACGTACATACATAGTATATCATCTAAGTACTCACCACGCCATCGCCAATGTTATGCACGGAGCAGGGTATGTGCGCGGTCGCACCGATTTGCGTCGTCACAACGGTTGAGTTCTCTGTGCCGAAGTACATGGGCGCCGCGTAGATTTCATCTAAGCCAACATTGGCACTCTCGGCTGAGCTGCCTTGCGCCACTTCGCCAAGGCTGTTGTGCTCGCCACCTCCACCTACGCCCACCACTCTATGTATTGGGCGTGCTATGTGCTGCAACTGCAGCTGTTGTTGCTGTTGTTGCTGCTGATGCTGATGTGAGTGGCGTTGTTGGTGTCGTTCATCAATTACATTTGCTGAATCAAAACTTGTTATGCTACTCCCACTTGTTTGATGGTATGGCTGTTGTAAATTCAACTGTTGTGATTGTTGTTGCTGTAGTTGATGTTGATGATGAAACGATGATGACGCCGAAATTGAAGAGGGCGGATAAGGCATATCTGATGGGGCTGTGAAGGCGGCACTATAGCTGCCATAAAAAGTGCCATGGCCGGTGGCCGGCAATGGAGGCGGCTGTGCCGCTGTTGCTCCATTAAAATTATTTGTCACGATGGGGCCGGAAATTCCAGCCGACGCAGGTGACATAATTAAATTTTGATTTATATTTCGGTGTTGTTCATTATTAAAGTTATCCTGTGTAACGTACGAAGTAAGCCCTAAAAGAAGAAGAAGAAGAAGAAGAAATATGAAGTGAGAAAAGGGCGAACAAATAATGGAAGAGTGTTGAAATAAATGTCGGTAGAAATTTAACGAAGCGGTCAACTTAAATAAAATATGAGGTTTGGGTTAGAATTTGGTGGAGAGAAAAACTGAAATATGCCTGTAGGACGCCCGTTTATGTAGAATTGAGTTATTAAGTTAGATTGATAAATGTGCTAAGAGGTGCGTGACGCACGCTCTTTTAGCTTTTGACTTATGCTTTTCACTCTCTTCCTGTTATTCGTAATTGGCATGTTTAGGGTAAAACTGAGCTGGGCGGTATTTTATAAATTATTACGTTCGGCAATTAATGAAAGCATATCAAATATATTTCACTAATGTACTGGTTACCTCTATGCTGTGATTTTAATTAAGAACGATTAAATATGTATATGGGCATTCCCATGGTGGCGCACGTGACAGTCGTACGATTTCAATGTGATACAAAAAAGGAATACCATTTGTTTTCTTTAACTTTTTTGGGCCATTGTATAGCACATAATTAGCTCTATATTTAACCGAAAAATGAAATCAATCGAACTGCTTGGTCCTGAAATATAAGCATTTAAAGAGAGTGTCGTTACGTGACAAAAAATGGAAGTTGATTTTTTCTTTTCTTACAAAATCGCAAAACTCTACGAATTGTGGATGGCTATTTTCATGAAACATATTTTAATATGATTTGGAGCAATTCTAGTTGTTTTTAGAGTTTTTTGAATTAATGAAAATTGTTTCAATTCTATTTTACAACGCCAAGTGTGAAACGTGACGTGACGTGGCGTCACGTGACATAAATTTCCATCGTTATATTTTTGTTAATATTGCTTTTAAATGAATTTTTAACGCAAATAAAACTAGTATTTTATGTAAAATATACTTTATGTTTTGACTTCAGCGCCAATTCAGGGTCAATTTATTAAAAATCTATGATTTTTTATGTTTCAACCACATACGCCAAATTCGAACCAAATCGGACCATAAATACGGTTTCTCGACCTTGGCACCACCTAGGAAGACCATTTTATGCAAACATGATTATACTTACATAGCCAGTATATACTTTAAAAAGCAGACAAATCGGCCCGTAAATACGTTAGATATAAAACTGGAAACACCCATATGTATTTCATAGCCCAAGGCACATTTACAAGGTGGAAGACATATTAAGAGACGTGGAGCTAAGACAGAGCACAAAAGTGAATTTTTTCTTCCCACTAACGGTAAGAGAACCGCATAAATTCGACAGCCAAAGGTGGGCAGCTATTTAGCTGTGCGGCAAACTGCCTAAATCCCATGGAGTGGGAGAAGGTTTCGTTCGATCACATGCCAACGGAATTAACATCTTTACGCAAGACCCAGCCTTACAAAAGAATGATGCGATGCCTTAGAAGCCAACGGAAAATTCCCTATAATTATTGCGGCGGATCTTAGTGCCTGGGCAACGTAATGGCGTAGCAGTTATACAAACAAAAGGAGCGAGGTTATGCTTTAAACTTTCGCACAACTGGATATTTCAATCATAAACATCGGAAATACCTATACCTTTCTTGTTACCCAAGGAAAATAGAACGCCGGGAGAGCTCTCGTCTTAACGTCCGACACACTGGGGATTATTCTTGAGAAAATCATCTGCAGCAGGCTCGCGACGATCGCAAAGGATAAAGGTTTTCTATCGGCCTACCAGTTTGGCTTCAAAAAATCCCGGTCTTCCATGACGCAATTAAATTTGCAGGCAAAACACAGTACTTAGCGATAATAACGCTGGACATAAAAATGGTCTTTAATCGTAGAACACATAACCAAAAAATACCACGTAAACACATAACCGGGGTATCCGGGTGGCCACATAATTGTTTTTAATATATTAGAGGCATAACAGCAATTAGTATGGGTAATTATGCAGATTTAGGAGTAGCCTTTATAGACAGTAAATCGGTCGACGAAAGATGAAAAAGAAGACGCAGCACCCGGGGTTGCGCGTAACCTTTCTGCAACAAGATAAAATGATCCGAGTCGATGTTTGACCTTCGGAATGTGCGTACGTTTAAAACATTGGAAGCGTGATTTTCGCTTGTCACAAAATGTCGGAGACAGCCACGTGGCTTGAGGGAGCTTTTTTGAAACTTATCACTCCAAACTACCATTTTCGGGCCTTAGCGAAGTTGATCAGTTTCGGTTCGTTATCAGACATTCTGGCGATTTTGCTACCGTGACGTCGGCAGATCTCGAAAACTCTCCCTTTTATTCGGATTGTAGCAAATTGTACAAAAAATGTTGTCTTCTCATCGCCCTCTTTTAGCGTTTTTGCGTAGAGGGCAAAAAGAAGGTTGCATTTTTCGGTAGAAACGAAATCGGCATAAGGTGAACGACAGTATTCCGCGACGGGGTCTCACTCTTAGTCTTTTATATGTCTGCCATGGTCGTCAGAAAAAGGGGTTCTCAGCGGAGGCTGGATCCCAAGTCCACCGCACAACCCGTTACGGGCGGGTGTGACTTTCTAAAATTAGCTTGCTTTTAAATAGGTGTTCAGTTACTAATTCGTGTAAGCACTAGAAGTCGTGAGCTACAAGAACCGGACGCAGAATTATCATTTTTGCGACTTCGCATAGTGCCGTCTAACTGGGCTTTAATCGAAACATTTGTTGTCCTCAATGTGATCGTGTTTTGTAAAGGTAATTTATCCTTTATAAAAAGAATAAGAGAGAAATTTCCCATAAAATAAATGATATGCCGCCCGGAAGCCACTAAACTCAAAAAATTTTATACTAAGAATTTTATTCAGAGCATAGCCATGAGTTATCTCTTCACGGAAATAAATATCAAAAATACATTGCTTGAAATAAAATGTTGATTTGACTTTTTTTATGCTGTCATATAAATTCAATTCTCTCAACACATAATATGATGACTAAATACTGTGGCTATAACCAAATCATATGTTGAGAGAAACATATTTAGTTTGCTTTACTAAACTTTTTTCTCAGTGTACGTATTCTCGAATGCACAAACATATACGTATGAATAAATGTATATGTATGTGCGATTATCACATCTTTATTCTTCATCCGAGTGCACAAGCGAACCATGTTTCTGCACTTAAATAACTTCTTATTTACACGCCAAATTAAACACTTCTTATTACCATTTCCGGCACTTTTCCGTATGTTAATACGATTTTAATGTCAGTCAGAATTTTTCATATGACTTTTTATCGCAATCACCAGCAAAATTCACAGCGCAGCAACCAGTTGGCATTGTGCATGAGAGCGTTCATGTTGTTAGGTTTTAAAATAAACATTTTAATTTTTAACACCTACTATCTCAACAGTTGTGCTTGCGCTCGCACAAAAATTTGAGCATTTGTAGATATGAACATATTTGAATTCGAGCAAGCATGCATGCACACTTTGATGTACTACTAATATGCATATAAATTCGTTTTTATGGCGGTGGATGTTAATTTATGTGCTTTTTGTGTACCTAACAACACGCAACATTATGTTTATGTTAATTTTCTTACGACTTCTGGTGAATAAATTACTTTTAACATCAGTATGTATTTACATAGGAACACATGTGAGATTATGTATGTATGTGGGTTTTTGCTGAGTGTGCAAATTGCTTGTACAAACATTCTTTAAGGGTTCGTTTACCTTAAACTCATGCATTCATACTCGTTGTCTTCTGCCTTGCCAAATCTCAAATTAATGGGTCTACCGGGCGTATGAGTGATAACACTGTTTGGGGGAAATCTCAAGTTTTAAATGACAAAAAAAAAACGCCTGAACACGTAAACATAACTTTGATTCGTAGATTCCGAATCTGTATTCTGTGTTTTTGGATCAGGCCATTTTCTCAAGATATGTTCGTTTTTATGAAAAAAGATTAAATTCTAACAGGCAAAAAAAAAGAAGATTCATTTTCATTTGAATTAAACAGAGGCCCAAAATATTTCCCTCCACTTCGAAAATGTCCCAAAATAACCGTCACTATTTAAGAGAAAAAATAACCCACAAAATAGAACAGGTGGTTTATTTTTTATAGATGTGTGCTCCTCTCAGTGGTAAAGGGTTATTTGCATATCGTTTTCCGTTGCTGTTGGCCACAGACACTTATCGCTGTAAGGGGAAAAATTTGTGTTAGAGAGCGGTTACCCACGAACGTGCACGCAGGTTACCGCAGATGTGCGTAGAAGCATATCAAATTTGCTAATCGATAACAAAATCGATACCCAAATCCATAAAAATATAGATAAAAAATCGATAAAACTATCGACAAAAATCGACAAAACTATCGATAAAAATATCGATTAAAATATCGATAATGAAATCGATACCCAAACGATAACAAACTCGATAAAAATAACGATAACAAAGTCGATAACATTATCGATTAAAATATCGATGTGAAAATCGATAACAAACTTGACAAAAATATCGATAACAAAATCGATGCAAATATCGATTATTATATCGATAAGTCCCCGAGAATACCGAAAATACCGAAATCTTTCTTCCTTTATCTTTATCTTTACTCATCCTCATCCTTTTCTTAATATTTATCTTTGTCATCTTTATGTTTATCATTTTCCACATCTACATATTCCCCTTCACCTTTGCCCTTATATAAGTAAAAATTTTAAATTTACCTTGATCTTAATTTATGCATTTATCTTTACGCTTCTTTGTTTTTGTTTTTATTTTTACCTTTGCCTTTATCCTTTTCTTTATAAATAAAATAAAATAACTTAATTTCGGTGTATCATATTATGAATATGCACGCTCTCTTCCTTGTCATAAATGTTCGCACATGTATGTGTACGTATATGTCCACTTATGTACGCCCACTTATATTTTTCAGTCTTACAATAACCCACAAATTAAGACACTTAAAAATAAAAGTCGCTGCCAAAGTGTCTTTGCCCAAGAGAAATAACCCTCAACGGAAAACATAAAAA